CAAGATGCTACGTATAAGCTTGCGCTATTATTACGTCACAACTAATTAACATCACAAACGCAACAAGTATCTCTTTCCGTTTCCACCCTTACCTACTTCAGTTCTCGTAAATCCGAAGCCGTAATCGGTTCCTCGGGGGATGCGAAAGCACGAAATTGCTCTCTAAAATGAGTGGCAAATTGTGACGCCAAAATTGAGTTTTAGCTCCAGGTTAATGTGTCATTATCGGCGCCATCGAGACCAGTCCTCCGAGAACAAAAAGCGTCCCCCTGCTCCTCGCCTCCACAAGTGAGGCACTTGCCAGTATGTAATATGCAAAATATATTTTCAAAGTATATTTGAACTTGGATATCGTTCACGAACTATGCAAAGATAATCATTTCTAGTACTCTGGAATACATTTCATTAGGATTTTCTAAATCCTAACTGTTAATGTTTGTCATAAAAAAAAAACGTTTTCAATTTTAAATTTTTTTCGAAAAAGATTCAATGCATGATATATATCTTCGTGAATATCGCTGTGTCCGTTATCGCTGAATCGCAGTTGTTTCACATATCTCCAGGGACTAAAACTAATACAACGGCCATTAATCTCGGTTAGTAGCTATTCTTTCACTTTCCCATTAAAACAAACAAATACCGTATAATATCAAAACTGGGACCAGTTGCAAGGTGGAAAGGTCGCTTTTTCGGTCATACATACGTCCGTTTAAATGAGTATAACACGGTCCGCAAACAATGGCCGCGGTTTATGTAAGCTACACCCAGCAAAACGGCGCGCATCCGATACGCATACCCATACGCGGCCCTGTATACTCGGCCTTTAATTTATGGCGGCTTAATGCCAAACAAATAAACTCACAAATTTACTTCCGGCATGAGCGGCATCACGGTCACCGTTGGGATAAACATCCTCTTTCATTAGTTCTCGTGCCCATCGTGGAGGAAACGTAGACGGGAGAGGGGGGGAGGGGGAGAGGGAGAGGGTGGAGTGGTTACCTTCCCCTCTGGAGTGCAGAGCGGGAGAAAGGGATAAAGCGCACTTTACTTTTTTTCTTTTTGCCGGACGCTTTTTGTTGCGCGCGCCACGCTCGAAGGATTTATTGGTGCTGGGTTACCTGTCGGCCCTCTCTCTTCCTCCCGTGATAACCGCGCCCGTAACTCCGGTAAGTTTCGGATTATTTCCCTTTTTTTTTTTTGCGCGGGTCACGGTCGCTTTAAGCCCGACCGACTGATAAGGATTTGAAATATTCCGTGCACCGGGCCTCGATCATGTGCGATACACGGAAATCGCAATTATACTACAAGGGCCAATGTTGCTAAGAATAAATTACGGGATAGAATAGGGTGCATATCATTAACCCAATTCTTTTTTTTATACCTCCCTAAGGCCTTTTTTCTCTTAGTGCAATAAGCCGGAATATTAAGGAGCATCGGCCAGAAAGATTTAATATGAGATGATGGCCAGTTCGCTTCAAGCTCTCCTTTTAGACAGTGGCTCGGATTGGGCAACCTTCCAGAAGTCCGTTGGGCTGGAGTTTTGGAAGTTTTACCAGTGAGTAACCACTGGTGAAGACGCGTGGAATGATAGTATTGAAGTTGTGGGAAATGTCGAGGTCGAAAATCGATGAGATTTCTTGCGTCTAATCGGTGGCTCCGATTAAAAACTTTTTAGCATCGTGAAAAAGCTGTCAACTCTCGATATTAATTATCTATGATTCCTCTTTTAAAAGATCATGCGCTGTAAATGCAGGAATTGAAGTTGCACGACAGAAGACGATAGGTATATTACATTGTTCACAATAATGTATAATATTATTGATATTAATACATTATATATATATATATATATAAAATATTAATGCATAATATTATTAAATTTATAAATGTGTGCAATCACATCCATATTTCCAAAAATAATGCTCTCACGTTCACGGTTGTGTCAGGTATAAATTGTGACGTGAAAATTAAGCATGAAATCCAATTGAAATAGCTCACTCTAAATGTAAACTATGCAACTCGAAAACCTACAAAAGTTACTCTAAATCTACAAATAAATTCAGTAATGCAAATTTCCAATTCACCGATCAAATCAAGAAAGGCATGTTATACCTCAGTGCTCGATCAAACATCATGTATCTGCGATTTTCTGTAACTATAAGGTACTTTTATAAGCATCAGTTACAGAAAAGCATGTATATAAGCGACGGTTTCAAAAAGAATTAGAAAACGATAAATCGCAACTTCAAAATTTCTTTAAAGAATCGTCGGAAATAGAATATGTCTTTCAACAAACTAATTTAACAGTTATGAAACTTGACCAAATACTACATCGGTAAATAGAGCAAATTAACATTTAGTTAAATGTCATCCTTGCTACAATTTAGATTACTAAATTAATTTGTTAATTAATAATTTAATGATATAATAATATTATATTATGTCCTTTCAATATAAAATTACAATAAAACATAAATTAAAGCAAATATTTAACCAATAATACGAATTACTAAAACCTATTACACAGATTCTTAAATAAAGATATTTGAGATATTTCAATAGTTAAGTAAATGCGTAATTATTTGATAAAAATTTCTATAAAAAATAATATTTAATTTAACTTAAATTAAACCATTCTTCGTGGATATCTCTTTTTCAACAATCACTTTTTAAATTATTATTAACATATAACAAAAAAAATAACGAGATTGTACAAAAGTTAAAATAGTCAATATTTTATCTCTAATTTTTCTTCCAGTTTACCTAAATATAGAAATAGATATAAGAAACATGTTCCACATATGTAAAGAAGAGATATAGCAAAAATCTTATCTGAACAGTCTTAATAATATACAAACTTCATACTTATAATGAATTCTCAAAAAAAAAATGTAATTAAAACAAATATTCACGTTGCAACTTATGCCAATTAATATCTACCTCATCTATAGTAGAAATCTCTATAGTTTTATGTAAAAATACATCAAACTAAAATTACGTAATACAGACTTGACATTAAGATACTGCTATGAGAGATTAAATAATGATTTAAATCTGATTATATAACCATATTTATTATATAACCATATTTATAAATATAACCATATTTAATAACCGTCATTATCATTAAAAAACACTACAATCACGTATAACTAACTTATGAGACTAATTGCCAAAGACAAACGCGCAAGCCGAGATAGTGTAATTAGAAAATAACTTCTCATTTTTCTTACTAAAAAATCTATCAATAATGAACATAATATGGAGCAGTTAATAATAAATGTATAGAGAAAATATATGAATAATAAATGTTATAATATAGAATAGAATTAGGTATCGCAAAAAACATGAAGTTACATGTAATGTACTTGTTAGTTGTAATTTCCCACTCAACAATATAACTATAATATAACACATGTAATTTAATGTTTGCTGGGACTGTATAAAATTAAAATTACTACACAATATTTTCATTAAGAAAAAATTTGAATGGAAATATGTCAAAGAATCTACCATTAAAAGTGAGATAGTGCAAATATCATATCAATCTATCATTAAAAGTAAGATAGTGCAAATACCGTCAGAAATGTAATTATGATTCAAAAATATTCTAAGTTCACTGATAAATAGAACTCTCAAAATCAGGCTTAATAATAATGTCGGACAAGATAATAAAATCTTCAATGTGCAAAATTGGAAATCTACAACTAAGCAATTAAAAATTTTACTTTCTATGCTATTCATAATAAACCGAGGTCCATACTATCGAAAATCAATAGCTGTCATCCGTCAAGATCCAATACCTAATATCATACATTTACAATCAATATCTGGTGACATTGAATCTACAATAAATATTTAGACATACTAAGAAGAAATAATACAACTATTAAAATTATTGTAGAATTTAATTCTTTATTAAATTATGAAGTGAACATTATGTGATATTATATTATACCGTACTTCAGTAAAATTACTGACGAAATATTATTAAAGACTGCAGTCAATCCGCACAAATTTTTGTGATCATCAAAGAAATCCGAGAAGTAATTGAAGAGTATTGATATTATCGACTATTGATATAAATTTGTAATTGTTATATAAATATTTAAATAATCCATAATTCTTTTTATTATACAAATGGCTTTATATATGCATACTTAAAATGCTGTAATATCATATATACATTATCATAAAATTTTTTCTTTTCTATTGTTACCATCTTATGGATAATTAAACACGGATGGTAACTATATATAAAAACGCAGTTATAAATAAAATTAAATATTAGTACGTTAGTTATAAATATACATGTCTGAAAAACATTGATCTAATAATAATGAATCCTACAATTAATAATTATTTACGTCACAATGGTTAAACTGTGTTTACGTTTTAACAGATACTCTAATAGTCTAATAAGCTAATTCTCATATAAGATTATCGGTCTATATAGTAACTCATCGATGATAAAATGGAAATAAATTGTAATCAAATTATTATTAACTTGAACTATTTTGAAATAAATTAATTATCATCTACTTATTCAAAAAGAAAATTCATATTATAATCAGTATTTTTTTTCTTTCTTTACTCAGTACAATAATTTCCGATGAGTAAATAAAATATATAGAACCAGAGAGAAACCTCTCTCTGATAGGACCAATAATAATGTGTGTATGATCAGTACTGTTATCTATAATGACATTATCAAAATTATATAAACGCTCAAAATATTACTCACAGAGCATAAGAAAGAAATTAGTTTTAATATCGACGAAATACTATAATAGCTGGAGTATGCACGTGAAATGCACAATGCAGCTTCTCTCTGCTGTGGTAGAACCTGGTAGACCTAACTTGACGCACTCAGTGGAAACGCTCCCTAACGCAACGCGTGACGCGCTCAGTGGGAATTCAGCCATAGTCCTATCCAGAAAGGAGAATTCCAATAGTACTGAGTACAAAATAAACGTTCTGCTGAACGCGGTCGATACTTTTAAATAAGCGTTTGCTCTTAGCTCAAAACAAATTTGCAGAAATGTTTGGTTTTTTTACCTCATTTTTACGAAATCTTTTTTAAACTTTACAAGCATGCATCTCCGATCGTCTAAATTAACATTTAAACATATTACTCGTGTACCTTCTCGACATCCCATAAAGGCGGGATAAGCAATGCCATAGTGAACACTGATAAATACACAGGCTTCGTGCTATAGCGCGAAAATATAGTAATATTTCGTGCGCATGCTGCTCTATAATTCTAGCGTGAATTTCTTGCCGCGCTCGCGTCCATCGTAATGCAGATATATTAAATTTCGACAATGGACAGTCGTTTTTTAATGTTCGCGCAGTATGACCGGAAGCGTACTTCAGTTCATTTGCCGCCAAACTATCCTGCGTGCTGTGGTGTTGTTTATCCGTCAGCTCTCGAACGTACGGCTGTAGCGTAGATAATCACGCCAGAGACGTGCGCGCGTTACACGTTGTATCACGCTGTGCCACGGGATTGCCTCTGCGTCCGTTGGAATCGATTTGTCCCTTGAACTTCTCGAATTTGTGGAATATATCATGGCTAAGGTTCAGCTGGCGAACGTCGCTGTTCTGGACAATCCCTCGCCGTTTCTGAATCCGTTCCAGTTCGAAGTCACATTCGAGTGCATCGAGGAGCTAAAAGAAGGTGCGAATTTCGATTTTATGATTACGATTCGCGCGACAACGCTGTTTATTCGAATAGATAACGATGTCCATTCGTTCGGCACCTTCGAGTACACGTCCATTCTTTAGGTTAATTTTGTAATTATGATGCTACCTGCACCATAATGATGCAGAACTGTTCACGAATATTTTATAACACACGCTTGATCGTAAAAACGAAAAAACTAAAATATAAATATATATATATTTTTTTTTTAGATGATAAATATGATACATGTTCTAACCTAGTAAAAGTTCTTGTTGGTTAACTACGTTTCTGCAGTGTAGTCGTTTAATTTTCTTATATATGTATAACATATAATATTTCTATATACATATGCAAAAGAAATATAATGGCATACAATACTGATATTCTTTTAGATTTGGAATGGAAAATGATATATGTGGGCAGTGCAGAGTCAGAGGATTTTGATCAAGTTTTGGATACTATTTACGTTGGTCCAATCCCTGAGGGAAGACATATGTTTGTATTTCAGGTAAGATATCATCATGGAATAGCAAGTATAAGTGTTTTATGTTGTAATTTATTTAATATTGATGTTTAAATTCTGATTGTTTTTTTTCCCTTCTGTCGTTAGGCTGATCCACCCGATGTGAGTAGAATCCCAGTCAACGATGCTTTAGGCGTAACCGTTGTGTTGCTGACCTGTTCATATAGAGGTCATGAATTTGTTCGCGTGGGTTACTTTATAAATAACGAATACACCGATCCAGAACTCCGAGAGAATCCACCTCCGCAGCCACAATTCGATAAGGTTCAGAGGAACATACTAGGCGATAAACCACGTGTCACTAGATTTAAAATAAACTGGGACGACTGTCCAACTGGATCAGCGAATAATCTTCCCGAGGGCATGGATGCACCCACAGCGTTAGAAGATACATCGCAAGATGCGCCCACATCCACATTAGGTTTTACAGAGAATACGCAAAATGGTGGAATGGAAGTGATGTGAAAAATGATTTGCTGCTACTAAGAAAATAACTCGGTGAACTAGCATTATACAACAATTTAAATGATAAATGTAGTACCTGGAATGAAGATGGAAACGAAAAAGTACACACACTCAGTATATATATATATATATATATATATACATATATTTAGATAATTCAAAAAAGTCGCGCAAAATAATCTTCCTTATAATTATTGATGTTTTCCTTCGGTAAGATCCAAAAAGTTTGTACATTTTGAAAAAGAATTATATGTTGATAATGTGATAATCTTACACCTGAATAAAAGACAATGATTGTTTGGATTAATTGTTTGCAGGATAGTTACTTTCAGGCTCTTAATCAAATAGTGGTACTTGATTACTACTTGCAATCTTTCGAGAATAATGTAATTTTTGCAAAAAACTTCGAATAGAAGCAATTGTGGCACCAGTTGTGCACAAATAGAGATTAAATGTAAGTGATTAATTATACATCATGTTGTAATGCAACAATAAATTTAAATACACATTCTTATGCAATTATTATTTGAAATTACTCTGTTAAGTAGCTTATAATTTGAAGCTTGAAACTAAAAGATATGTTTGATGTTTTAAGTATTATATTATTATTGCTTATTATAATGTCATGTTGCATTAGATTGTAAGACGGTTTCCATTTTTATTAATGTATATATATATACGTACATACTAAGATAAAGAATACATATTATGTTTTTTACTTGAAGAAAATGTGTTTTCTCCCCTCCCCCCTCTCTCTCATTCGAACATAGCTAAAAAGATATTAGACAATAAAGTCGATGCATATGCTTAAATTCTAGACCACATCCAGATTAAAATTCTGTACGTTCATTTATTTAGTTTTTTTTATGTCAAACATTTCTCGTATTTTACATTCTTGTGTATTAATTTATATAGTAATACATCATTCAGTTTTAATAAAATCATGAGTTTTAATAATATAAATGATAAATGAATTAATAGGTATAAATTTGAAAATATCAAGCATCTTTTAATAATGTTAAGGTTAAAGAGTATTTAATTAACTGTATGTAAAAAAAGTGAAATTTTATATAATTTCTCGGCATATTAAGATATAATTATAATTAAAACCTCTCCGTTTCTTCTAAATTTATCCTAAGAAGGAAATATATTGTGATTTTATTACGAGATTATATCTTTTAATCATTGGATTGCAACTAAGGATTGTAACGAGATCGAAGGTCGTGCACGACATACGTAACATATAAAACACATGCGATACATATGCGTAAACATAAATGCGAACGTACACAATATGAAAAAACACGAACGGTTCGGCCACTCTTTCGCAAAACGTATGTACGACTCGCATAGGATCTCGACGCGTCGGTCAAACTAACTTGTTTAAGCAGAACTAATTTGTTTTCGTTCAAGAGAAATCTTCGATTCGAGTCTCGCGGGGGAGCATTTCATAGAGTAAACAGTAGATGAAAGATTAAACATTTTAAGATAAGACAGCCAGGAAGAATCCTACGAGTACTTATGTTTATCAAGGCTAGGTTTTATACGAACCGAAACATACAGGCAGTTTAGGGACTCAAAAGGACCATCGATGACGTGCGACGTCGTTGCGTCGCGACACGTAACCGCGCCGATAGGGATGAACCTCGAACGCTGGAGCGAGCAGCGAGCGCAGTCGGAAAAAGAACGATTTTCCCTCTTTCGATCGGTAGCGACAGGGATTATCGGACGCCGAAGTCAGATCGAGCGTAAGAGTGCGTTAAATTGCCGAGCCATTCGCGACTCAGGGCCACAGCCTAGGCATTGTCGCGAGTCCGTAATAAGCTACCCAGAGCAACAGCCCCAAGGCATTGTCGCAGATCGCGTACCGACTCAGGAAGACATTCTCCTATGCATATCGTGTGCCGCGGTCAAACCGGTCAACAGATCGACCCGGGGAATCATCCCCAAAGCGTTGTTAATACAAAGAATCGCGAGACAGATCGCGATTCGCAAGTGTAAATGCCACAAACATTTCGATTTATACAAAATAAATAAACGATATACGAAACTATAACAGTGTGCATATTATTAATGTTATTCATGCTGATCCACGGAACAAGGATTGCAATCATTGGTTTTGATGTAATCGATTCGAGGCCTCGCGATTTATTCTTTAGCGCCGATATACGACCGTATATGATGTATTTCCTGACAGATGGGTAATTGAAAGAGTCTGGATAAGATTCGAATTGCAGACTACTAATTTACAGTCCTACAGGATGTTTAAATTCTTGGTTAATTCACTTGTTAAAAGAACAAGAAAAATTAATGTGCTAAAAGAACATTCGCAGAAAGCTGCACACACGATAATTTTTGCATTTTTTATTTAAAAAATTATCAACTTTTAATACTCTGTAAAAGTTAAATCATAATTGCTGGAAAGTTATGCTCACTAAAATTTTGATTGGCGTCTCATAAACTATAAAATCCCAAAATTTGAACAAATTATTCAGTCAAACAATTTCCCATAAAATACGTGCCCTTTGCGCAGTACAGCAAACATGCGTATTTTTAATTTTACAGAAAAAGTTCTTTTGCTTGTCGGAATTAAATTATGAATTAATATATTTAGAAGTATCCAAAGAAGGGCAAGTGAGCCTTGCACGAAATTAGTGCTAAAATTACATATATTTAAACAATAATCATTGTCACCCAAACGTTTCGGCTCCGCATTGAGC